CGTCATTGTTGTTTGGCGGGTCCGGGCTGGGGATTCGAACCCGCCACCTTAGGTGTACGTGGCTGGCGCCTTAGCTGGTTGAGCTATAGGCGCCGAGCCTTTCTCTTCTTTTCTAACTCTTTAACTACCTGGGATAACTTAAGAACTTTATCCTCTAGCTCTGAGATTTTTTCTTTTCCATTGTCTAATCTATTTCTTAATACTTTCTTGTGTGTCTTTATATTCCCTGATTGTCTCCTTCATTTCCTTAAGCTCTGCCATATCCTTTGTATATTCTTCATGTCTGTTGTCTGTCTTTTGGTATTGTTTTCAACTTTCTCGTCCATTCCCTTTATTGTCTTTATCATCCATATTTTAAATTCCGTTTCCATCAACTCCAATAATTCTTTATAAGTGGAGTTCTCTGCAGTAGCTGCCTCATCGTCCCTTAGAGGAGTTATTCTGTTTTTCATGTTGCCAGAGTTTTTCTGTTGGTTCCTCCTCATATATGTTTTCTTCTTGTTCTCCTCCTTGCTCTGGTTTTTTCATCTCACTTCCTCCTTTGCTTTATGTTACTTGTCTCAGAGCTTAGGCATTGAAGTTGTCTCTTGATATAAGTCCAAAAGGAAAAGAAGGGTAAAAAGCTAGCAGGGAGAAAGAAGAGGAAAAGATAGAAAGAAAAAAAAAAGAAGGGAAATGAAAGAAAAGAATCAAAAACAGGAGAGAAGGAGGACAGGAAGAGAGAATGAGACTGAACAGGAGAAATGGTATTGTTTGGCATGGAGGTAAGGTCACACCTATAATGCAAGGATTTCTGGGGGGGATGGGTGGGTGGGTGGGTTCCATAAAATCAGGAGTTCCTTACCTACTTGAGCAGAGCCAGACCCTATCTCTGCCAAATATATGAAGAAAAAGCAATGAGAAAACCCAAAAAACAAGAAAGAAAGAAAAAAAAAGAAAAAGAAAAATTGAACAGTGTGGACTTGCCAATATTGTCTTCCCAAAGTCAAAGGTAGAAGGACTCCTTAGACTGTGATCTCTTGCCCTCATTGGCCTCCCAGCCAGACCAATGCTGTGCCACGCCAGTACTCAGAGAAAAGTGAAAAAAAAAAGTATAGATAAAGAAAATTAAAAATAGTTATATCAAATAAGGGAGAGAGAAGGAAGAAGAAAAAAGAAAGAAGAAAAACAAAAGGGGGTGATATTTTAGCTGTTGTATGAGTGATTTATGTGGAAAAGATGAGAAAAGTAGAGAAATCTCTATTGAAAGAGAGAAAGTCGGAAGAGTATAGAACAAATGACTCTGCAGTACTATAACCAAAAATACAGGAGCCCTGGGTCTTGATGAAAGTGAAAATGGAAATTAAGTATAGAACCAACCAAATTAGCAAAAACAAAACAAGAAAATCTCAAATGGCCAAAAACAGCAACAACCTCAGCAACAAGGGAAAGAAAAGAAAAATACTTAAAAAAGAAAAACAAACTAAATAAATAAGTATATATACTGCAGAAGGCAGCAACTATAATAGGAATATTATACATATTGCAACATATTGCCAGAACACCAAGTGGCACTATGGTTTTAAGAAATGGAGAACACAACAGGAACCACTCTCTAGTTTCTGTGGAGGACAGGTCCTGACTTTCTGACTTTGTTGCCATGATTGCTTGATTGTTTCCTCAGCATTCATCGCCTGCCAAATTGGGAGTCTTAATGCTCTCCAGAATCCTTAGGCAGCGGGTTTCACAGTGCCCCCTGAAAATTCCCTGTGGGTACAGGAAATCACTCAACTTGCTCCAAGAGTGGAATCCCAGTCTCCACAGGCAGTACAGAGGCAGCCGTGCTTTAGGCCCCTTGGACAGACCTACCCACAGTCCCTTCCCCTAATGACAGCCACCTGGCAGCTGGACCTTCCCTGAATGGCCTCTCTGCCAGCAGCCAAGCTGATGGTAAATCCACTCCATCCCGTATTCAAATCTGGTGGCTGTACACTTTTCAAGTCTGCCCACTCTTCCAAGCTTTCAACTCCATGTGCAGAGATACGAAAACTGCAGAAAGTTTTCCCTTCCCCAGACCTCTGTGGGGGTCCAGCTGGTCCCCACCAGCTCCCAGTCACTTGTCTACTGAGTCATCCTCCACAGCTCCTGTATTATGGTTTTGTTATTCATTGGTGGGTGAAAATTTGTTTCTGCACTGGGGAAGTTTAAGGTAGGCAAATAAATAGAATAATAAATGGGGAAATTAACAAGTAGTAATAAAATTGACAAAAGTGTATTAAGCAAGGAATAATTGGTAAGGAAAATAAAAGATGTAAATTGGGATGTTAGCAGGGATAGTTTTTCTGATTTTTAAGATAATACTTAAAAGGTGAAAGGCACCCTATCATGTAAACCCAAGACAGGATTCTTGGGAGATTTAGTAGCCAGTGAAAAGCTCTATGACATGGAAAGGTTATGACATGTTCTAGGAGTGAAAAGAAAGCAAATTTGATAGGGACATAAAGAGCAAATGTACAGTGTTGTGAGTTGAATTTTATGGCAAGTAGCATCCATATTCATGGCAAAATGTACTTTTTTCTATTTGAAAAGAGAAAACATTAGAAAATGTAGTAGGGATTCTTAAATTGATCTACACTCAAGTAATCTGGTCTCAACTCATCATTTTCTTTATTTTAAATTTTTTTTAAATTTACATGAGTATTTCAGAGTTTTTTAGCCCATTTACTTCAACTTGGATTTATTTTCTGTTATTTTTTACTATTGTAAAGTTTTTATTTGCTAGTTTGTGTTGTCTAGAATAGGAAAATATGTGTTTTCTTATTTTCTTTCAGATTTGGACTCCAAATGTGACACTGAAATGTTACTTCAAAAAAAGGATATTTATGAAATGAATTTATCTCAGTGGGAAATAATGGAAAGAATTAAGAACTGTACACTTGAATGTAAAAAGTTTGAGGGACAAGAAGGTCTTCATGAGGTCTATTTCAGGCAACTGACAAAAACCACCTCTGAAAAAATGCCCATTTACAGAAAACATACATCTCTTACTCTTTATCAGAGAAGTCATAATAAAGAGAAGCCCTATGAATGTGGGGAATGTGGAAAGGCTTTTAGAGTACGCCAACAACTGACTTTTCATCAAAGAATTCATACTGGTGAGAAACCTTATGAATGTAAAGAGTGTGGAAAAGCCTTTAGACAGTGTGCTCACCTTAGTCGGCATCAGAGAATTCATACTTCTGACAAACTCTGTGAGTGTAAAAAATGTGGAAAGATCTTTACATGTGGTTCAGACCTTCGAGTTCATCAAAGAATTCACATTGGTGAGAAGCCATATGAATGTAAGGAATGTGGGAAAGCCTTTAGAGTACGAGGGCAACTTAATCTCCATCACAGGATTCATACTGGTGAGAAACCCTATGAATGCAAGGAATGTGGGAAGGCCTTTCGACAGTATGCACACCTTACTCGACATCAGAGACTTAACATTGCTGAGAAGTGCTATGAGTGTAAGGAATGTGGTCAGGCTTTTCTGTGTAGTACAGGCCTTCGAATACATCACAAACTTCATACTGGTGAGAAACCATATGGATGTAAGGAGTGTGGAAAGGCCTTTAGAGTGCGGCAACAACTTACTCTTCATCAGAGAATTCACACTGGTGAGAAACCCTATGATTGTAAGGAATGTGGGAAGACCTTTAGTCGTGGCTATCATCTGACTCTCCATCAGAGAATTCATACTGGTGAGAAACCTTATGAATGTAAGGAATGTCAGAAGTTCTTTCGTCGTTACTCAGAACTTATTTCACATCAGGGTATTCATATTGGAGAGAAACCTTATGAATGTAAGGAATGTGGGAAGGCCTTTAGACTGTTCTCACAACTTACTCAACATCAGAGTATTCATTTTGGTGAGAAACCCTATAAATGTAAGGACTGTGAGAAGAATTTTAGATTGCTCTCTCAACTTACTCAACATCAGAGTATTCATACTGGTGAAAAACCCTATGATTGTAAGGAATGTGGAAAGGCCTTTAGACTTCATTCATCACTTATTCAACATCAGAGAATTCATTCTGGTGAGAAACCATACAAATGTAAGGAATGTAAGAAGGCCTTTAGACAACATTCACACCTTACTTACCATCAGCGAATTCATAATGTAAATGCATAATTATAAGAACACTTTCATTATGAATTATTATTTTGGTGAGAAACCCTATAAATGTAAGGACTATGAGAAGACTTTTAGATTGTTCTCTAAATTATAATTCAAATTCAAATTCTACAGGAAAAGGTTTTGACTGTGCAAATCTTCTTTTCTTCACACTCACAATTAGCATAATAACTTTTATTTAAAGGAAAAATATATTAATTTAATGAATATATAGAAGTTTTTCATCAGCATTCTAGCCATGTTAAACTTTAGGAAATTTATTCTAAAAAAGAACTTTATGGCTCGGCGCCTATAGCTCAACCGGCTGGGGCGCCAGCCATGTACACCTAGGGTGGCGGGTTCGAATCCCCAGCCCGGACCCGCCAAACAACAATGACGGCTGCAACCAA